ACAAAAACCTGGCAGTCAATATGGCTGAAAAATCCTCACTGCTGCTAGTGCCAGTGGCAACTGACAGCAATTCATCCATCCGAGACCTAGAAGCATCGTGAAACCTGAGGTCAAGGGTGACTGAAAACAGAATGAAGTTTGTTGGAGCAGAGTTGAGGGATGATAGGGAAGTCAGAAGCAAGTTATGAGGGGGCTTTTTGTTGTCCTCCACTTCCAAATATTATGTCTCTGGGTCTGGCACAAGTGCCTGACTACAGGCAATATCCCTGGAAGCCTGCAGGTACTTCCAGAGGGCAGAGAAAAGCTGTATTTGAACCCTGAGCCATTAGCCAGGGATGATGGGTGTGAGTTGACTCATTAATAAGCTCACACTGACCCTGGCAGCCAGAAAGTCTGTGTGAGTCCCTTCTGCCTTCCAACTTAATCAAGGGGAGATTTGCCACTGTCAGGCAACTGAAGATGGACTCTTCACATTCTTAAATGGACATGTCATTTTTCCTGTGCAAGTGGGCTGAATTAAAGCCAGTCCGAGTAATCTTTTACAAGAATTTATGACATTAATTGATTCTAAGATATTTTATTTTATGACATAAGATCACAGTATATAGGAGCAGAATTTGGCCATTCGACCCATTGAGTCTGCTTCACCATTCAATCATGGCTGATATGTTTCTCTACCCCATTCTCCTGCCTTCTTTCTGTAACCCTTGAGTTCCTTACTAATCAAGAACTTACCTATCTTTCTCTTAAATACGTTCAATGACTTAGCCTTCATAGCCTTTTGTGGCAATGAGTTCCACAAATTCACTATCTTCTGGTTGAAGAAATTTCTCTTCATCTCAACATCCCAGGTTTCAAGCTGAGTACAGATTTGTAACTATTGCTAAATATTTAATTATAACTGAAATTGATATTATCCAATGATAAAATACAACTAACTTTTTTTCTAACATTTAAACTTTTGTGTGCCTACCTAAATTGAGGAATCGCCCACGCTTTCAATGGGTTAAATATCAAACAATACAAGAGAAGCTATTAGATAAGTCTGTGGCACAGTATCACTTTACATTACTAATTTCCACCCTGAAGTGAATCAGACTGACATTTCCATTTCTCATAGATAGGATTTAGAAAGTGTCATTAATTCCTTTATCAACTCTTTAAACCAGACAAATACATATGAGCTGGTGTCCAACACTTGAGCATTAAATTTGGCTCCTCTCTCCTGGGGCAGAATCACAAAACCTTTGATATAGAAGTGGTTTGTACAATTTTTGTTAATCTTTTGTACTTTTCTGTCTAAAATCTAAAATTTTGTCATTGTTCTTTCACTTGGAATTCTGGGTTATTCCAATAGTGGGTTTTTCCTTGGTGGTCATGCCTGAAAATGCTGACATACTTCTGTTAGGTGGATTCCATTCCCATCCTCTAAAGAAAAAATGGTCTGCTTCAGTGTGAACCTGGTCACAGAAAAACTGTAATTTGTCTCATTGTTATTCACAATATGGCCACATAGGCGTATCCGTACTTCATAGTAATTTGTTGCCCATAGAGTGCTTTTGAAGTTTCGAGAATCTAAGAGAGTATATTATTGCAGGTTTTCATTCTTCACTCATGTTCTTACTCTTCAAAACCTGAAGTTTGAAAGTATAACATGAATCTCCATTTTCACAATCTAACTCTAGCTATCTACTTCTGTATGTCTCATACATTGGCTATCTGTTCAGAGCTGATGATCATCAGTGTTCAAAAGCAACAGATCTCTTTGCAACTCATTTTCAAAACAGTAGCTTCTTCACCTTAAAGTTTTATCTGTTCCAAATCCTGACCTATTTTAAGATAGTGCTACAGCTGCCTTATGCAAACAGTAAGGTAGGAAAGTGTATCTCGTAAGTTAAGGTTCAAAATGACATCTTTCTTGAGTCATTCAATAAATAATTAACTTTTCAAAAAAGTGTTACTGTTCTTATTTTAGCTGTTACTCTTTATTGGGGTCTTGTGATGCAGTCCTTACCTCTGAGCCAAGGGACCCAGGTTCATTTCCACCAGCTCCAGAGGTGTATAGTAACATCTCTGAGCAGGATTGATTAAGAAAAATATCTATTCAGTCTTTATGAGGGGTTCTTGTGGTTCAGTGGTAGTCTCCCTATCTTTCAGTCAGGACACCCAGGTTCCAGTCCCACCTACACCAGAGGTGTGTAATCATATCTTTGAACAGGTTATTTGAAAATATCGATTCTCTCTTATTCTCTAATGATAAAATCTTATCTACATTACAATTAGCTTTATTGTTTTCACAGTTTATGACTTTACAGCATGCACTCTAACTGTCTCCTTATCAGTCCCTAAATTATCTCAAGGCAAATATTTTGAGATCCACTGGACCTCTGATAACAAGTACAGATAATCAAGATGTAATATTCTATTCTTTCCCACAGATCAACACTGAAATTAAATGAAGAAAAAGAGGACAGAACTCACAAAGCGACTTACAGATGTATGCTAGGAAATGATTTATTCATAAATAATGTATTGCTTAGGTACTGAATGAACATTGATATTTGTCAGTTTGCAATGAGGTTATTTATTCGCCATTTTGTTTGAGAAGCTGCAAAACTGTGTTAATTTCTTCATAGTTATAATCAGCAATTAGACCAAATACTTCTGTATGTTTTTACTGGTAATGAAGTTTAAATATAGCTTTAAACCCTAGAAGAATATTAACGTGACACTACTGCAATCTTGGGCCTTTAAAAAAAGATTTGGTTGCACTGCTCGCAAGTATGTGTCTGGGATTATTGTGATATTTGTGCACAATTCAGCTTGTTTCGAATCTTCAAACAGTTATATTATGGTTGAATGAAAAAACAGAAATTGCTGGAAAAGTTCAGTAGAATGTTGTTATAAAATCCCCACTGTGTAGAAATGGGACATTCGGCCAACAAGTCCATACCAACCCTCAGAAGATCATTCCACCCAGGCCCATTCCCCAACCCTATCCCTGTAACCCTGCATTTCCCATGGCTAACACACCTAAACACCGTTGGTACTTTAGCATAGCCAATTCACCTAACTTGCCTTGCACATCTTTGGACTGTGGGAGGTAACTGGACCACCTGACGGAAACCCATGCAGACATGGGGAGAAAGTGCAAACTCCACACAGAGGCTGGAATTGAACTTGGGTGCCTGGCACTGTGAGGTAGCAGTGCTAACCACTGAGCCACCTTCCTAAAGCCACTATGCCACACCCAATTCCAGCAGCATCTGTGGAGATTTCAGATCCGATGAACCGTCATCAGAAGTTCTGATGAAGAATCACTGGACGCAAAATGTTGACTCTGTTTCTCTCCCACAGATGCTGCCAGACCTGCTAGGCTTTTCCAGCAATCTCTATTTTTGTTTCCAAGCTATAGACAATGCTTGACATGGCATTATAGAAAAGTAGCAAGATATGAAATTCACAAAGAAAAGTAAAACAGAATATGATTCAGTGGAAAGAAGGATACTTTTCAATCATTACTGCTTCACTGACATTGCCATTATGGGATGAGCATGGAAGACAGTAAATGCTGTCAGTTCTTCAATTAAATTATTTTGTATTTACAGAATTTCTTGTAAATACTTTGCCAGTCATTATGTCTGTAATTTCTGGAACCTTGCATTCTAAATCTGTACCTAGAAGTAAACAGCAGCTTCAAAACAGTCTGGAACATTGATTACAGCCATTAAATTGATTATCATAGGATCCCTACAGTGTGGAAACAGTCCCTTTGGCCCAACAAGTCCACACTGACCCTCAGACCCTCAGAGCATCCCTCCCAGACCCATCCCCCTATAACCCACCTAATCGACACCTCCCTGAAACACTACAGACAATTTAGCATGGCTAATCCACCTAGCCTGCACATCTTTGGACTGTGGGAGGAAACCCACGCTGACACGGGGAGAATGTGCAAACTCCACACAGTCAGTCACCCGAGGATGGAATTGATGTAATTGAACCCAGGTCCCTGGTGCTGTGAGGCAGCAGTGCTAGCTGCCGCCCCGCTCATGTAGTTCTGTTTTTGTTGCTTTAACTTGTTTTTGACCTGCAAATATAGTTATTCTTCAATTCAATGTTGATTAATGATATTTCATTTTCAAATTTTATACACACTTTAGTGGATTGATCTTGGACTGGAAGGCATAGAATCAAGAAGCATATATGTCATTTAATGATGGGCCAGTGATTAAAAATCTTGCATTCTCAATACTGATTTTACTTAGTTTTATTCATATCTTCATTAGTTAATTAGTAATTGCAATTTTGAAACAAAATTCACTAAAATTTACGATCTATTTTAAATGCAATTTCTAGAATATGAGAATTGGCATTCTAATGAATACTTTATGAATGATGCACAAGGTGTTATTCTACACAAAAACCGAAAGAACTGCAGATGCTGTAAATCAGGATTAAAAACAGAAAAAAGTTGCTGGAAAAGCTCAGCAGGTCTGGCAGCATCTGTGAAGAAAAATTCAGAGTTAACATTTTGGGTCCAGTGACCCTTCCGCAGGTATTTTGCAATATGTACATAACATCACATCATTTCTTCTGAAGTTTTACATAAAATCTTTGGAAAATGGTTAAAGAAAGTAGGTTATGTAATAATTTAACCTCATGTAATTCTGAAGTGAAGTGCAAACTGAATGCTATGCACTGAAGAAGACATTGTATTTGATCAATGTGAAGAAAACAGTTTAGTTTTGGATCCACCATTTTACAGGGTCTGCTACTTCATAAATTAAATATTGTGTAATTTATAATAGTTCCACTTAAAGCCACATCATATAGTGACATGATGGCTCAGTGGTTAGTACTGCTGCCTCACAGCACCAGGGACCTGGATTCGATTCCATCCTTCGGAGACTGTCTGTGTGGGTTTACTGCAGGTGCTTCAGTTTCCTCCCACTGTCTAAAGGTGTGCAGGTTAGAGGGATTGGCCACGCTAAATTGCCTATAGTGTCCAGTGATGGCAGGCTAGTTGGATTAGCCTTGGGAAATGTGGAGTTAGAGGGGTGGGATGGGGTTGGGTCTGGGTCTGAATGGGATACTGTTCAAAGAGGCGATCTGGACTTGGCAGGCTTAATGGCCTGTCTCTGTGCTTTATAGATTCTATAATGTTAAAATATATAAATTGGCAGCACACACACTAAAATTGGGATGGAAAGCAAATTTGTGAAGCAATCCATATCATAGGGCCCTCTTGTAGTACAGTGGTAATGTCCCTGCCCCTGGAACAGGAGGCCCACCTCTTCCAGAAGTGTATAAAAACATTGCTGAACAGATTGATTAGAAAAATAGGTTAAATAAAATCTTTGCGTCATAATTTATTTCAAAAGCACCTGCATCAAAACAAATCTACTGGTAGTCATCATAAAATACATGCTGTATTTATTGAATGAAGATTAAGAATCATTTATTAGAGGATTCTTCTTTGCAGCAGTAAAGCATTTTCAATATTGTTCATGTTAAAACTAGAATAAATTTTAGAAAAAAGGCCGTTTGAATGAATTAATATCAATTTAACCCCCTCAAATCTAACAAAAGAATCTGTTTTCCATATTTGTGTGTACAAAGTGAAACTTGGGAAGATTTTATCCACAAGACAACTTTGATTAATATCTGAACTTTAGAATTGGAATAGAATTTTAATCAAACTGTCAGCAACTCAAAATATTTGTGTTTAAAATAATAAATTCAAATCCAATCATTTAACAAAATCCAGCTCAATGATCTCAGTCCCTTTACAACCATTATAGTTTTTTCAGTCTGAACAATATTTTGATTCAAAATAATCCTTTTAAAGAATTTTTATTACAAAATATAGATGAGAAAAAAATTTAATGATGAACAGTTAGTTCGTGAATATTTATTTTTTTGGTAAATTTAAATCAAACATTTCTTTCAGACTTAAAGGCGTTCCATAAGACAGATTTGGTTAGTGCATTTTTTAGTGACTTTGGCGGTGGGGGTTCCATGTGATGAATATCAAAGAGTAAACTCTTAATTTGATGACAGAATGAGCCAATTACACATTCTAAATTCATACATCACTTCCCAATTGTCTCCATAATTTTACGATTGTTATCTGCCTGCATCCATTGATTTTCATTCTTGGCAATCTCAATCATTTCCCTCAAGATATGAAATGTGAGATCCAAGGAATTGGGTGGATCAGCGGGTCTCTTGGAGCGTCCTGTGAAAGCTGCTACTATATCTTGGTCAGCTTGCTGGGTGGGCATGAGGCTTTTTGTATTTAAGGAATGTTCACGTAGGAAACGGCTGGCTTTTTTAACAAAGATATCTTCCAACATCTGCAGATAACCTGGAGGTAGGTGAGAGAACATCATCATGTACTTGGGATTTTTCCCCAAAGATTGGAGTAACTTTTCCTTCAGAATGTAGGAAAGGGATTGGTCATTTTCTTCAATGTTGGCTGTGTTGATATTGGGATCATAAATGTTGTCAAAGACATTCAGATCTACAGCACGACAAACAGCTGGAGGGGTGCGACTGGCAAATAGTAGTAAGGCTGCAAGGAAAATCAGTGGAGTTGATGTCATGCTGGTTACAGATCTGCAAATAAAGACATGAGAATTTAAATTAAAACACAGCCTGATGCAGCAAAAAATTCTTTTGAGTATCGCAGCACCTCATTTTAACGGTCAAAAGTATCACACATTTAATTGCAACTTATTTTAATATTCCACTGTAAAGCATATGGAATAAAAAAAAGGAGTAATACCATGGGATATCTAAGAAGTGAGATGACAGCTAACAGTAACATTGTAAATATCTCAAAAATTAGTTGGTTTCAGATGCTTCCTAGTTCATGAATGAATGATGGACTTGCTTGGGTTGTTTGCTGCTTCCTCATACCTTATTAGTACTTTATTTCTTTTGACTGGTTATATAAATTAGTTACAGACTTCATGAGCCAAGCATAAAATGTGGAATGATCTTTTATTTCTAATGCACACAACTACTATGCTTAAGATATGTTTTGTGTGCTGGAACTAAACCATGCACTGTGAATTTGAATTGCACTAAACAGTTCAATGACAACTACTACCTAGAATGGGAGGGTTGTTCTATGAGGAAAGGTTGGAGAGGTTAGGCTGTGTCTGCTGGAGTTTAGAAGGGCAAGAGGCCACTTGAATGAAACATATAAGATCTTGATTGGGTGGATGTGGAGTGGATGTTTTCGCTTATGGGAGAATCTAGAATCTAAATGGGGCACCATTTGTATCCTTCAAGAAGGATAAGGAGAAATTATTTACTCTCAGAACACTTTGACTCTATGGAGCACTCTCCTGAAAAGACTGTGGCAGCAGAATCCTTAAAAATATTCAAGAGAGAGGTAGATAGATTCTAGATAAGCCAAGGACCAACTGGCAGGAAATGCAGTAATCAGATCAGCAATGATCTTATTGAAGAGCAAAGTAGGCTGAAGAAGCAGAAATGCAATACTTCAGTTACTAATTTGTATGTATGTTCCATAGAATCCCTACAGTGTGGAAACAGGCTCTTCACCCAACAAGTCCATACCGACCCTCAGAGCATCCCACCCAGACCCATTCCCCTATAACCCACCTAATCTACACGTCCCTACACGGGCAATTTAGCATGGCCAATCCACCTGGCCTGTACATCTCTGGACTGTGGGAGAAAACCAGAGCACCCAGAGGAAACCCACACAGATAGTTGCCCAAGGGGGAATTGAACTCAGGGCCCTGGTGCTGTGAGGCAGCAGTGCTAACCACTGAGCCACCGTGCCACCCCCATGTTTGTTGTGAATTTTTATCAAGTTGGGATTTTCTGTCTATAATTACAATTACATCTTGGCAAAGTTGTAAGGAAGGGAAAATTCACTGCATATAATTTAAGTGAGGGAATTATATACTCTAGAATCAACATTTTGTCCATTGCCAAAACAAAACTCATCGGTTTGTCGATAAGTGTAATTTTGACTATATTAATGCAAATATTTGCAATCATTTTGCTTAAATGTATACATTCTTTAACTGTACAGAATTTAAGAAGAACAAGTTGCATTATATTCATTTTTTGCCATCCACTTTGGATAGCATTGATTTTTAACACTCACTGGTGTTCTATAGATTTATGTGTATTTTACTAAGGCATGAAAGGAATTTAAATACACTATCTGTGGAAAATGCTTGCATTGTTTATAAGACAGAACCAAAGCATAATATCTACACTTTTTGAATCTTTAGTTACTCTTGTAACAAAGTAAAGCAAACTGAAATGAAGAACAAAAATTTACAGCAGAAATGAAAGGATAAGGTTTGAGTAGGACCCTTCATCAGTGCCAGATTTGATTAAGGCGTCTCACCTAACACAACCTATAACTTTCTTTCAGGTACAGAGGGGGTAATGCTTTTTGAACTCTGTTTTTAGAGTATTCTTCATGTCACTTATTTTGATTCACTGTCTCTCCATCCTTCAATAATACGTAAAATGGCCATTACCACAAAAGAGTGAAAAAAGGAGCTTACTTGGATAAAAGATATCAACATATAATCTCAGTAGAAATATCTTTCAAATGAACTGGACGCAATTGAGAAAACTCCTAAAATGCAATTGTATACAAAATCAGTTGTATATTTATGTAAAGTATTGAATTTGTCTTGTAAAACTGTCCTTGTGCTAACACATTTTGCACTAAAAGTCAAAACACCCAAACAATATCCTGAAGTAAATTTCACAAAACATGCGTGGAAATATCCAGAATTCTTAATAGCGATATCAAGCTAAAGTCACAAAGTAAACTCTCCATGTGTTTCTTTCAGTGCAGAATAAAAAGTATTGAAATTTTAGAACATTTGACTGTAGGATGATTTGTCTGTGTTTTTTTTAACCTTTTGAAAACAGTAAGTTAAAAAGGACAACAGGAAAGTTTAAAGATAGGACAAATTTGTCAAAACGTTATGAAAGAACCAAATTGTGCAGCATTGGAAAAATTTTGATATATTTTTTCTATATCTATATGAAGAACAGGGTCTGTAATATTTGCATTCATAATCACTGCAAGTTTGAAAACAAAATTTTGACAGCAGTGGACTGCATTAGCTAACAGTACACATTCATAATAGTGAGCTAGCCAATGTGTGGTGATAAGAAAGACTTTGGCACACTGTGGTCATGGGTCAATCAAATCTAACTACCTGGGCAGAGGCTGTCATTCATTAGTGAGGTTGTTTGGGAATTTTTACAATGTGTTGTAGTGGATCAGACAATGTACTACAAGCACTGTTGGGAGAAATGAACCTTCCAAGCACTTCTTGGGAATCATTTCTTTATCTTTTACTGTTCTATTAGAAAATAGCATGTCTTGTAATCCTACATACCTCACTTAATGCAGTAGGAAGTTAGTACTGAAAGTTGGAATGTTGATTTGTAAAGGTCAAATTTTGTCAAATTACAGAGCTCCAGATTTTCTTTATTTCAAAATTATGTATCCTAAACTGCTTTTTCAGTGGGCAAACCTTCCCACACCACAAAGCATGAGAGACTACAAGTATGTTAACAGTAAATTTGTGTTATCAATTTGTACATTGTAGTGCTTCATATGATCAATATATGCTTGAAGTGTATTTAAGAAGCAAGTCAAGTTGGGGCAAGATACCACAAATCTACAGGGAATTAGATGACAACTAGAAATCTGAAAAATATAAGCAAATTGTGTTCATGTGAGTGCTTTGTACTGCATCTTCAAAGATAAAAAGGGATGCCAAAAAGCTTAACATTAATATGATGAAATGGTTAGCAGTTGAACTGGAAAACAATTTTGAGTATTCTAAAGTTTACAATTGATGCAACAAATCACAGCAGTAAAAAAAAGTATAATTATAGTATAAAGCCAGTGAAGGTTTTGTATCTTGTTCATATTTTGACACAACGAAATGGGAAAACATGCAAACCACAGAGAGTCACAAAACTAATCAAAGAGAGTTAAAAGAAAAGTTATGGTGGATTAGAGAGGCCTAGTGGTTATGGCACTGGATTATCAAACCAGATGCACATGGCAAATTGTGACGTTGAAGTAATTTCATTTCGCAATATGTGGGCTAGTACCAGAAAAAGATTCATGAACATTTTGTTTAAAACAAACTAAATTGTCACTAAGGCAAGGCAGGACAAGATAACGCAGTGATGCTGTGGATAGAATGCATCACCTACATGTAATTCCAATTTAAGATCATATTGTTTACACAATACTATCGGTCATTTAAAAATATGAACATTTCAGGTCAGGGACTGTAGAAGCATAGCCAGTGAACTCTATAAAATTGATAGAACATCAAGTCCAGGTTTATATTAAAGCACAATATTGTGAATGCCAGAAACCCGAAACAAACAGAAAATTCTGGAGAAACTCAGCAGGGTGATAGCATCTATGGAGAAAGAAATAGAGTTAGCATTTTGAGTCCACTATGACTCTTCAGAACTGAAAGGGATTAGAAAATGGTGGTTTGTATATTTTGACAGAGGCAGAGAAGACCAAGGGGAACAGATAGCATTGAGTTCCTGTGCAAAATATAGTGATTTTTTAATTGAGGTGAAAGAGGAATAGAAATGAAAAATGGGTGAAAATTAAGGCATGAAAGGGGAGAAAATGGGTCCTCTCTGCTGAGAGAAAAGTAAACAATACCCAAACAATACAGGGCCATCATGGGGAGGGAGAGGATGCAGGGACAGAGATTGTAGGAAAGTTGGAGGATAGATATCATGATCTGAATTTGTGGAATTCAATACTGAGGCTTGGAGTCTGTAAATTGCCTGAAATGAGGTGTTGTTCTTTAAGCATGTGTTGTGCTTGTGTGGAATTTTCCCAGCCCCTGAATGATGTGGGTGAAATGTCAAGCAAGGCCATTCTCAACAAAAAAACCAAAATGTCATATTTTCCAACAAGGTCCTGGATATTGAAATGAGATTCGCACTTGTGAGTGGTGAGAGGCCTATTCGCATGGAATATTACCCATCACCCTCATAATTACTTAATCTCACACAATCTCCTTTTCTCCCACCCACTGATTAAAAGCTGTATGTTCAGAATTCTTGACCTGAAAGAACAGATGCCTATCAATACCGGCTCACCGTTTGCTCTTGCAGACTTCCATCTTGGACACCCAATACCAACATCTCCAAGCACACTCCATAAGGCAGCAACTGCATGCAGCACATGTCATCAGACATACATAATTAGGCTACAATTCCAATTCAACTACAGCCACATAAGAAAGTATTAGGCCAAATGGGGAACAGTTTATTTAAAGAATAAAGAAATATTATAGATATTTGTAAACATGAGGACATGGAGGAATTTGAAAATGATTTTAAAATTAAGCTATTATTTGTAGCCAACGTCATAATGCAAGCTCAAGTAATGATTATTTTCTTTATTCTGGATGGATGAACTAGATTGGGATAACTAACTTCCATTATCTGCATTTCATCATTACCACACGAAGGGAAGATCCATTTCTTATGGGCATTCCATTTGATTACATGTATCAACAAATTGTTTGAATCATTTTCACGTAAATATATTG